TAAACGTCCAGAACAAGGGACAAGGCTTTCAGAGACAGCTGAAGCTGCCAGAACACCAGCTTCTCCTCCTCGCCCACACAATGACGGCATTGTGTGGGGAATCCAGCCCACTACTCTCAGTCTCCTTTTCCGCAAACTCAGTTACAATGAGGAGTCAAGTGAGGACCAAAGAGCTGAGCCTTTGGTGACAGCCAGCCCTATAACCACTTGTACCAGCTGGATAAATCCAAGTTGCTCATCTTGCATGGAATTTGTTTGCACGCGATCATGCTATCGAGCAACACCTGGGGACCAGGGGGAGGAGAAGAGGGGAAAAAAAAAATAATTTCAGAAGTCTTTGACTGAGGTCATGAAACACACGAGTAGATTCCAAAACCCGCCTCTGAAATGCTACACAGTTTACACAATAGAAAAATTGTAAATAAGCTGAATATTGTCAATGTATTGCATTTTACACATAAAAAGATGGACTAGCTCTGGAATTTTTCTTACAAAATACAGTTGTACTGTGAAGGTCAGTTTGGTTTCGAGATTCTAATACATACACAAAACCATTGACAGGTTACAAGGCACATCAGCCTTTCGCAGCATCACACCCAGAAATAAACACAAAGCCACAATTTTTTTTTTTTAAACCAGTTTAAAACACACACAAAAAATCCTGACTGCTAAATTCGACTGACCAAATTGAGAAAAAGCTCGGGATATCAACCTTCTGAAAGCTCCCTAATTTCAAATTTGGGAGGCAAGAAGTCAGATCCTCTAAATCTATAATCACAAATAAAATTTTCAGCATGAACATACTAAAATTAAAAAAGATGTTTAGACAGCTCCTAAACTTTCACTGTGGTTTGTAAGTGCACATTATTAAATACTCCACCCTCTAAAACCCTTAAGCTTAGTATATCAAAACAAGCCACAGAACAGTCTTTCTAGTGGGGCACAGTACTGAAGACTCTGATAAGGAATAAGACAGAAGGACCACTTAAAAAAAGGGCACTTCGAATACCAAGAAAGTGTTTGGCAAAGGAGATTAGGAGCTTGCTCCCAGGTACCTGAAAGAATAAAGTTCAATGATGACAGCAAGTGGGAAAAGCTGAAGGAAGGACAGGAGAAGGGGCCAATCTAATCACCACAGCAATGGTTTGACAATGAAGGCAGCTAAAGGCAGATTCTGGAGGAAAAAGGATAACAAATGGTTTGAATTACAATGCTGCAGATCAGAAATTATGTCATCATGGCATGATGTCGAAAAAACTGCACACCACGAGGTTAGTTGGTGATGTCACAAAGAGAGCGGATGGGAAGTTCTGTCTATATGAACTCTGTGTCTAAGGCAGCAGTGAGGCGAGCAAGAGGACACACCAGGGAGACATCAAGGGCAAAGTGAGAGATGGAGATAACCTTGGAAATCATCCACGGGTTGGTGACAATTGAGGGAAGATAAAATTTCCAGTGCAGTGGTTCCCAAACTGAGCATCACAAGGTCATAATCGCCATCCACAGCTCTCCAAGGGCTCTTGACTAGAAAGGTCTTCATTAAGAATACACCCTTTATGAGCAGAATATTGCCATGACCTTCCCCATTGGTCTACCATAAAACAGGTCAGTAACTGATGCTTTTGAGACAGAAAACCAAAGAACTGAACCTCAGGGAACAGCATTAGGAAGTGGATAAAGAGTCATTTAAAGAGACACTGAATAAACAGTAAGCAGAGTAGGAGGAAGATCTAAAGAGCCCTGAAAGCCTGGAAAAAGAAAGCTTGCTGAAGCAAAGGTAGTCATCATTCAAATCTTGGAGGACAAAGCTGTCCCTTTGCACTAGATGGAGACTGCTAATGATCATTGTGACAGCAGCTTCACCGAATCTCAAAGGAGAAGGAATAAGAAAGAGAACTAACTAGAAGAAAACCAAGAGAAAACCGGCACAAAACCCCAAAAGGAATAGGGCCCTAATTAGATAAATATGATACGAGAGGAGTCTTCCATTTGTGTTTCCCTTGAGAAACAAGACTGCCAGGAATTCAAATGGAAAGGTAAATGAGTCAGAAAGGAAAGAGGAGAAGACTTGAGCAAAGGACCTCAGAGCAGAAGGAGGTGCAATGCAGGAGGAAAAAGGGGTGAATTTAAGGTTTAACATCACGGAACAGAGATTGCAAATCAGGTGAAGAAAGAAACGGTGGAAATAAGAGCAAAGAAAGACAAAATGGTAACAAGGTCAGAGGAAAAGAGGAAAAAAAGGAGAATTAATTCTTGATTTGGCTGATATTTTAGTGTGGTTTCTTATGGAATGAGCTTTGTGCAACCCAGCTGTCCGTAAACGACGTTGCCTTTCCCCATCCCAACAGCTTTTGAACACACTGGTCAGCTTCAGTGAAACTCCAAATCTCAGAGAAAATAAAGTACTTTGTAGTTGCATAGAGATGTGTGTTCAGGTAAAGGAGAAAGAAATTTGTGTTTCCTAACTAGACAAATGGCTGTAACATGAATTCTTCCTCATTACTGCTCCCTGATTCACCATGAGTCAACATGAAACTCCAGCTCCATACTGAGCAGAAGCCTTCAGTGAAGCATAGGTTCTCTAATAAACCTGGGTTAACGAACTGAAAGGCAGAGATCCACAGGAGACAAGGCTTCCCCAGTGGCAGCGCTCAATACTCAGTCCTTATTGAAACTTGCAAAGCAACTGGCTAAATTTTTGTACGAAAAAGGTAGGAGAGAAAAAGAAGCATAAAGAACTGATATTGGGAACCAAGGGTGAAGATACTTTAGTACAGGCAGGGGCCCGGATGCTTAGAAATAAGAAGTACAAGGTGGCAGCTTTCTTATGATACAGAAGCAAGAAATGACTGTGTGAAAGCAACTGTAGAGTAAAGATGAAGAAAAATAAACCAAACAGTCCAAAAGCGCTCAAGAGAAAAGGGTAACGTTCTTCAAAGAAAGAGTAGAAACTGGTAACGCAGAGGTTTCTGAGGCTGTCTCTGGTGGTGTGCTCACGTATCGCTGTCTGCTGTCATCCAGCACACCATTTCTGTTGACCTGAAAGCTCAGACAACTTTCAACAGCAAATGTGGTACATGACTGTTCACCAAAGGGACCACTGGTTGACTCAGTGGTCTCATCGTGTTCTTTGTTGGTTTCTGGCACTCACTAAGGAAGTTGATTCAATCCATGGAAGAGAGTCATAAAATCCTAGTCCAACCTGTTGAAGAGCTAGCATCAACTAACCCAAACATTACCAGTCTCAAGCAGCCAAGTTACTGCTTTGGAATCTTGTTATTTCTCATAGACTGACAGGTTTTGTCCACTCTTTTTTTTTCTTTTAATGGCAGCTATTGCTAAGTGCTGAATTACCCCATCTTGCAAATTAGCAAATAACTGAACATGACTTTTTTGTTGTTGTTGAATAATGGCTAACACATTACAAGACAGAATTCTTCATGTATTTTGACAAGTGTTGTCTTGCTTTAATTATTTACGAAAATGCTTTGCAGTATGCCAATAAAAGCCCTACAGTGTATTTTTGCATATTTTTCAAAAATAATGAAGTCTTAGGGACATGTGGCCTTTCTGCCAGTCGGCAGTTATGTCTGTGCTTGGAGGGAACGTGCGGGTAAGCAAATGACCCCACCATTTGTGTGTTAGCATTTGAGCATGATGAGATTTCCTATATAATGAAATCAGCTACAGCATATTCTTACTATAGTTCTTTCTAACAAACACTGAAATTTTGATAGTTTTATGGCATCTAAAAGAAAAAAAATACAGACATGATATCCAAGGAAAACCTCAACACCAGAAAGAGAATCTAAAACTGAGGTGAGCTTAAATAGTTACTTTCACTACTTCTATATCTCTAGTTATAAAACAGGGGGGAAACCAGACTTCAGTCCTATAGTTTTCTGCCTAACGACACAAACCCAGGAGTATGATATTTTATGTCACTACAAAAGGCCAGTAGCATGGAAGAAGCTGCAGGTTCAAAGGATATCTGAAAAATATCGTAACATTTCACAAAAATAAATCAGCAAAATACCTTTTATTAATTTATTCTAATAACTTTATTTATATGGATATAGCACCTGTCACATTTTCAGCATGCATTAGTTTCTTCACTGTACTGAGAATGACACAACTGTTTTAATGTGAAGGATGATAATCATAAGTCTTTTCTTTAATTGTTAAAAAAGAACACTGCACTAGGGTACCATAATTAATAAAATTAACTATGAGAGCATTTGTCCTATGGTATCTTTTCTTTAGCATTTTTCACACTACCTTCTTCCTTGCACGCACACTGTTCACTGTGTGTACACCTCTAATTATTGCCATACACACATGGTTTAGCTGGCATTGCTTCTCTGATGTGTAGCTCATCTTCAGACATTCTCTACTTTAGAATGGTGTATGGTATTACCACGTCCTATGGATAGTCAATTCATGCTCTGACAATCACAGCACTGGAAAGCAGCTAGCAGATGTGCCAGCACTGTAGTTTACCAGATTAAATTTTGTCAATACCAACCTGTTAATCGTCAAATTCCCAATCTGATTTGAGATTAGTCAGATAGTCAGAGACTACATCAGAAATTTCCAGATGATTAGATTCTGTTCCCAAGTTCCACCCCCTGGCTACAGAGACATAGCAGCACAGAAAAAGGCTGAGAGTAGCCAACGGCCCCGTGAGTTCTCAGGGCATACCTGACCTACAGATGGACAGTGAAGAGTCTCAGAGTGTTTTCACTTTATTCTTTGATTACATCTGCATCTATGATCACATTCTCATGTTAGTCAATACTTACGGAAGTCCCTGAAAGAAATGCTTTGGAAGAAGTTATGAAGGGAAATAATTTCAGGCATGATGGTCATTTACTTGTCTTCACTCATGAATCAGAATTAATTCACAAAGGAAGGTACCGGTGTCTTTGGAGACAATCAAGTCACACCCAACTGCATTGCTTTGCCCCTCTCTAACATGAAATGCAGATAATGGCACTCACCTTACATCCCTCACAAGCACTGACACCATAGTGATATCCGGATGACTTGTCTTGACAGACAAAACAGGGCTTGTAAACACGAGGGGGTGGAAGTGGCGAAGGAGGGCTCGGAACAAGTTCCTCAGAACTGGTGCTCTGAGTTTCAACTGCTACAAAAGAAAAAAGAAATATAATTGAATGATTCATGAATGAATTTTAAATAACTGATTATTTACTGTATTCTAACTCTCAAACTAGCCCGTATCTTTCTTTGTATAATAAACACTCATTTATCTTTCCTAGCAAAATTTAAGGAGAACTAAAGTAAGGCAAGCAATGACAGGACTATATGCTATAGCCTCAAAAGTATATTTTAAAGAACCCGATCATTTTTCACGATCCAGCTACTCAACACCACAAAGGCTCCAGCTCACTTCAGATATAGGGCTTGAATCCCTTACCAGGCTCCAAAAACGGACAGTTTTGGGCTCGTGTTCTGGTTTTAGCCTATTGAATTGCAAGGGATCCGTGTGTGTGAGCTGGCAATCAGCCTTCAAAGGGAAACTGTTTGTGGCACGTACCCTTCCAATCGGTACCTAATCTTGGGAGAGCTCTTGTATCTCTTGCCTTTTTCTACAAAAAGTAACACTTCCAACACGCAATTATGCCACAGCAGGATAGTGGCATTCATCAGGACATATGTAAAGAGACAAACAACTAAGCGTAAGACCTGAAGTGAAAATCACTGGAATGAGTTGTCCTTTTTTTTTCCCCCCATCTGTAAAACTAGCCCAACCCAGCAACACTTCCTTACCCACCTCAGGATTTGTAACATCAGGAAGCCTTTCTGAGAAAGAGCTACTCACACATTATGAACCCACATCCCTTTATTGCCTTAATATTTCTAGATGGTCATTTGTTTTGAACCTGCTGAAAAGCCAGTTATCCCATTCAGGGAAAGGACGCGAAAGCTCTACGATGAGAGATAAGACATGTGAACTACATCTTTCCAAAACATCTGCATTAGTTTTCTGTGATACGCTGTCATCATTCCTCACATTTATTGTAGACGCGCAATACATTTTCATGTTTTACCTAGCCGTCTGCTGCTTCTCAGATAAATCCCTCTCACTTTTCAACAGATACATAGAAATGACAGGATCTGTGAACTCAGATCTATCCAGAAATATTAGGCACTATCAGCAGAGCTAAATCTCAAGAGTACAAACAGCAGGTCCTAAAGAATATTACTCAATGGAAAAATCTTACACAAGATTTACTGTACATGAGATTTTTCAGATTACAAAGATGATACATCTGTATTAAACTCATGATTCATTGTCAACTCGCGTTCTGCAGAATTCACAGAGGGCATCACGGAGTACTATGCAACTTCTGATTAGTTGTGAAAGAAGGGCCCCTTTCTGCCATTTTTACTTGGGTTAAGCTACTATCAACTTCAAGGACAGACATTTCTTGAGAAGAAAACAAATGCTAGAGTGAAGCAAATTCTAAGCAAATAAATATCTTTCCAATGGGAACACTTTATTTATATATCTAACAATAAGGAGGCTGTGAAAAAACAGCAAAGTAAAACAACGTAGCTCCATAAATTGTGATCTTAAGACAATGTCCAGAACTGTACTTATCTTTTTCAGCATTAAATACACTGAACCTTGGCAAACCAAAAATGTACAAGTTCCTACTGCAGCAAGAAAACTTTAATGAAGTTTTTTTCTAATGAAAACACAGATGAGAACGATAATTTCTTGTCAACAGTAAATTTTGGTATTTAAGAAAGATGGAGAGTGCTCTGTTATTGATCTCTGCACAGCCATCCTGCTTGAATCAATAATCTATTAGTACTTCTAAATTAAAGTTAGATTCATCAAATGCCCTTGAGAGGCCTCAAATATTCCTTGCCTTATTTCATGCTCATACATGGTGGCTTCCAATCAGTCTACGGAATGATAAAATTCTAGCTCTAAAACTCTAACACTAGCAGACAATGTGTTTCGTATTAGCTCATTCAACTCTCCCAGTCCATCTAAAAGGCAGTTTTTAGGCTCCCCATGGGAAAACAAGGCTGTGTCATTCAATAAAACAAACAACTGCACGCCTGCACTGAAATCCTTCTGCGATTTCAGTTTGGCGAAAGCAGACTTTGAGGAATAATACTGATACACTTCTGCTTTTTTCATGATTTCATCCTAAACAAGCATCAGCATCCAATAGTAGCGTTCAAACCACGAGCCATATGTACATAACAGAGGTCTGTCAGGCACCGGCCAAGCACCAGGAACCCGCGATACCCAGAAGAGATTAAGCAACCAGCTCATTTCATAAATACACAACATAGTCAGCAACTGAAGAGCTGAAGGTGCCGCTAGAGAGTTTTTTTCTGGACAATTTGAAAAGATGTATGAGAAGGAAAAAGCCAAGGTAAAACAGAAGACCCTCCCTAAAACACCCATATATAGATATGACACTAAAAGAGCTTCATCTATTCAATATAAAACTTGCATCAGTTGAACAAGCATCTCGAGAGGTTCATCTGTTTTTTGGAAGAAAATCCAGTTTGGGAACATTCACTTTTGACCACAGGTAAGATGTACAGCTTTCTGGAGAAAGCTTAAACTCAGGTTATACAATGCTCAACTTTTACTCCGTCTCCTGACTTACTATTCTTCCTCGGATTTAGCTTTTTAAACTCTTTATTCAAAAATGTATGCACTGCCAGCACGGAAGTGCAGCAATCCAGTGCAGGCATCTGTAGCAATTCGTGCTCAGCAGGTATAAAGCGTTATTTCTGTATCATGTCCATGGCTAGTGGACACATGACAGCAGAACCCGCTTTCTTCTATGCATGTCTGCATATGCGAGGTGGAAAAAGGACGGAGGGGCGGACAGTTGACATTTCCAGAAGACGCATTTTTTAAAGCGATCTTACAATTTTAGGAAGAAGTCAAAGAAACAAAAAAAGGGGGCAACTTCTTTCCATGCCTTGCTGTCTTGTCCTGTGGGATGTGACACTTCAGGGTCTCTCCTCACCTGAGCAAACAGAGCCTCAGTGCCCTCACCCAACACCTGAACGCAGCTCAAGCACACAGGGACTCCAAACAATTGGTCACTTCGCAATTCCTAAGATGTCTGAAATATTTCTAAAGGTTAGATAAAGCAGCAGATAAGATCTTTAAAAGCACAGCCTGCTTTGTGAGAGCTAATTTACTGCCAGCTAAACCATGTTGACAGACGGAGGAGGTATTGTACTTTGCGATCAACTAGAAGCAGGCAGGCACTATGAAATGCCTTGCGTTTTGCTAGAAACTTAGATTATTAAGCTTGTGTGTTAATGCACACTTTGGACAGTTGAGTCTTAAAAGAATAAGAAGTTGTAAAGCAAATGGCATTTCCTGGATAGCCTCAAGGGAATTTTGAATACTGAGCTCAGGGTCCCTGGTGGGAAGCAGCAATTTCAGCTAATTAGGGTGAATAGCAAAGTGTTGCATTTGGTCAGAACATTCTGTTAACCCTCATTTTTGTTGGCACCAACAAGAGTCTGGATTTTTTGCCTTCTTTTTTTTCTATATTTTTTTTTTGTGAATTCACTGCAGGAGTGCAAGGCACACAGCTCACATACATTAGGCAGAAAGTCAAAGGAAACGCCAAAGTTCAACTAAAGTACAAGTAATTAGAACCAGATTCTCTGCTGCTTGTATGTGTGCATTTGATTGTAGAAGTTATTTATAAGCCTCCAAACATTTGAAAAAAATAACTATATACTGTAGATCATTTAATTTTTATGTCTCGTCTGGAAAAAAAAGTCTGCTTTTAATCATCTTCCAGGAAAAAGCCAGGAACTGGGAAAGTGGGTCTCAATTGTTTCAATACAAATTTCTCTCTTTCATGTGCCACATAAAACTACACTATAAAATTAAATCCAAAATATCATTGACTCAGCCCCCCCATCCAATTTTTTTTTAATAAAAAACTTCTTTGAATTTGTCATGCTTAAATAGTTTGCATTGTTACGAGGTTGTGTTTTTTTTTTCTTTTTTAAACTGTTGTTTGGAAGACGGACAAGGGGAGATGAGGGAAAAAAAAAAA